GCTCACCTCGCCCGCCTCCGCAGCCTCCTTCAACCTCCGCCCACCTCCGCCCGCCTCCGCTCCGCCAACCTCCGCTAACCTTCGCCAACCTCCGCCCACCTCTACCAACCTCCGCCCATCTCCACCAACCTCCGCCCACCTACCTCCGCCCACCTCCGCCAACCTCCGTCCATCTCCGCCAACCTCTGCCCACCTCCGCCAACCTACGCCCATCTCCGTCAACCTCCGCCCATTACCGCAGCCCACCTCTGCTCCGCTCACCTCCCGCCCACCTCCGCTCTGCTCACCTCGCTCCCCTCCGCAGCCTCCTTAAACCTCCGCCCACCTGCACCCGCCTCCACTCCGCCAACCTCCGCTAACCTCCGCCAACCTCCGCCCACCTCTGTCCGTCTCTGCCCACCTCTGCCAACCTCCGCCCACCTCCGCCCACCTCCGCCAACCTCCACCCAACTACCTTCATCCGCCTCCTCTCTGCTCACCTCTCGCTCACCCCGCCCACCTCCTCCAACCTTCTCCTACCTTCGCTCACCTCCGCTCGTCTCCGCTCCGCTAACCTCCTGCCCACCTCCACTCCGCTCACCTCCGCGCGCCCACCTCCGCTTTGCCCGCCTCCGCCCGCCTACCTCTTCTCCGCCCACCGATCTCCACTCTCCACCTCAGCCCGTCCACCTCTGCTCCGCACGCCTACCTCCGCTCCGCTCGTCCGCTCACCCTCGCTCCGCCCGCCTGCTTACCTCCGCTTCGCCCGTCCTCTCGCCTCTGCTCCACGCGCCCACTTACCTTTGCTCCGCCCGCCCGCTCACCTCCGCTCCGCCCACCCGCTCACCTCCGCTCGACCCGCTCACCTCCGCTTTGCCCGCCCGCTCACCTCCGCTCTGCCCGCCCGCTCACCTGTGCTCCGCCTACCCGTTCACTATTCGACAAGTAAAAAACCACGACACCAGGGCCACAAAAACCCCTTTCTCCTCATCCCCCTCCCCTTCCCACACCCCTCTTAATGCCATGCGAGTTCTTTTGCTTTACGAGCGAAGTCGCAACAGATCATTTTGTTCTAATTAAGAGCAAATAGAGTTCAGAAAGACGTTAGGAAATCATGGAAATCAATCAATTTAATTGTCATGTTTGTCGTCGATATTTTTCTTCAGCACTTGCGTATGACAATCATGTTCGAGGAACAACGCGTGTGAATCGGTTTTTGCTTTCTAAAGACAATAATCAAAATTCAATTTATGAGGATAATAATCATATTCTAGAACATCCGGAATAAGAGAAGCAGAGCATTATCTTCGGAAGAAGAGGAATTTGACTCGTCCAAAAAGTTGGCGTCTGCATTTTTTTCGTGTCGAAATGGGATGGGTTTAACAGAAAATGACATGTCTACAATTATAAACGTTATTAAAAACCCAAAGTTCAATGTTGCTGCTTTACGATATTCCAATCGTTGAGAATTAAACCGTTGGATTGATCAACTTACACAAGATGATGGATGGTCTTCATTAGATCTTACGGAAGAGGGATGACCGAGAGAGGTCCATGCAACACTCCATTACCGAGATTGGGAAAAAACATTTTTGAGATTAGTTAAAACAACAAATAAAACTCATAGAGAACGGTTTGTTTTAAAAGTTGCACGGTCTCAAGGTGAACACATGATAAAATGACATGAAACTGGATCATTATGAAGAGATTTCGAAGATGTAATGCACGAAGATAAAGGAGATGATCGGTATGTAATGCCTTTTTATCTATTTTCTGATAAAACAACAATAGATGGACGCCAACAAACTCTCGCATATGTATTGATGATGTCCCTTGCTGGTGCACCATCAAAGAGTCGTATTTTGGCGTATCTGTCACAGATTCATCATGTTTCGAGTCTTCGTGGCTGGGAAAATAATGGAGTTGAGCTTCAAGTAGCGAGAATGAAAATATTTCACCGAGTACTGGATTTGATATTGAAAAAATAAAAATTGCAAGTCATGATGGCATAAATATTGAAACATATGATGAAAAATTTATTAATGTTCATCCCGTAATAATGAATTATGTTCAAGATCATCAAGAAAGAAGTTATCTTTCATGTGTCAAAAAAACTATTTATTGTCCTATATGTAAAACTCCTAAATATCGATTTGCTGATGTTAGAACAGTGTGTTCTACTGATCCGGTGGCAATATTTCGTACCGAAACAGTTGATAAGATGATTCTGCAATGGGTTCATTCTCCTGATAGCGATATTGAGAAAATTGAAGAAAAAAGAGGGAAAGGTACATATATGGTAGAAAGAACAGCCATGCAAGCTTCTGTTACTTCCAATATTTTATGGGGCTTTTATTGTGGTTCGGAAAATGCTAGACTTCGCGTCTGTGATTATCATATGGCATTTGCACCAGATGTCATGCACACTATTGATCATGGGATTGTGGTCCATCAGTTCAATTGTTTGAAAGCGGTGTGCAAAGAAATGACAAGCGATAGACCAAAATCACTGTTAGAGGAGCTTAATGCTCGTTTGTCGCTCATAGCAGACTTGGACTATTGTTATCTATCATTCACACTCCCAGTAGGAAGACGATAAAAAAATAAGAGTTTTTTTTTGTCTAATCATAAGTTTGAAGCAAAGCGAAATCTTTTTGTAATTCAAGTCATTGTTTTTGTTGTGAATGGTGTGAGTTTTATGAGAAATCATGACTATATAACAAAGGTATTTGTGAAGTTGTTAATTTTTTACATGATGGTATTCAAGTTATCCTCTCACATATTGCAATGATTGAAAAATGCAGAAGAAAACATGATTGAATTTATTGAATTTTTAAGGAATGAATTAAAACTGTATCAACCTTCAAGTTGAGAATTGACAAAATTCATGATTTGACAAAGATAAGAAATGTCATTATACGAGGAGGATTACCAAAATATTTTTCAAGTGAAATTTGGGAACATGATCATATCAAGAATGCAAAGGTTTCATACAAAGCGACGAACAAACGAAATGCAAATATGCAAATGGTCCAACATATTAGACGTCGTGATTTTTTTGATGAAAATTTTATAGAGACACATACTCATAATGAGAAGTATGAGTCTCATGTTGCAATTGCAGAGGGTGGTAGAAATGTTTTATCTTGCACGCCAATAAATAATATATCAATTAATGCAAAAACTTTTGGTATGGTTGTCCAGAATATGATTGGGATCAAAGTATCAACTGTGAAATGGATTGCAGGGATTTCATATCGTGAACAATTTTTACCTTGTCTTCGGGAATATTTTAACCGACAGAATGTAACTGAAGATGTTAAAAATACTCACGTTTCCATTCATAGACGTGTAGCAATTGCTGCTTAATTGGATGGAACAACTCGAGGAGAAGTTGTGCACATTGCGAGGGCAGTTCCATGTTTTCATGGAAGACCTGTATGTAAGAATGTCTCTGTGTTGGGCGAGAATAATGTCCGCTGGTATGCTGGTTTGTTAATGTTATTTAAAGTACAAACATGTATTGCAAATACTAATGAGGAGTTAGCTTTTGTGAAATGATATACAGATGTGCAAGGCGGTAGAACTGACATCTCAAGTTATTCAAAAGTCAAATGGAAAATGAATAACCAAGTTATCAAATGTGGGATAATCAGCATTGCTAGCATTACATGTGTTGTTCAGATCACACCGAAGTTTTTGAAATATAATGCTTCTGATCGGCATGCTTTGACAAGTGAATAATTTTATATTAAAAAATATGTAATGAATTGATTTTTTGAAGTTCAGAAAATTGTTACTCTTGATATACAGAAATTGTTAATGGTTGTAGTGTGCAAGAAGTGCAGATTGTATTCAAAAGATTTTTGAAAGTTTGTATTCGACCAACATCGAATAGGTATGTTTTTCCTAATACGAAAGATGGTGGTTTTTGTTTTGGTTAAACATTTATTAATCTTTAAGGCTAGACTACGAGACGAGTCATGCAGTCTAGCCGTACAAGCGCCAAAAAATATCCCAAAAAAAAAAAAAAAGAAAATCCTAGGCTACCAGTCGGGCCGTCCGGGCCACCTTGTTCACGAGGGTGGTTTCACTGTGCAAGGACCAATGAGGGTTCAAAAAAAAAAAACTGCAAAAATAAACTGAACAACTTTTGTCTCATGATTATATTATTATTCTCTTAATTTTTTACCTAGGCCACCAGTCGGGCCGCCCAAGTCAGTAGGCCTACTGACTGACCCCTCCAAGCTTGTCCGGGTCAGTTGGCCTACTTCCTAGGCCCTCCAAGCCTGCGATTTCCAATAGGCCTACTTACCCATCCAAGCCCTTTCCGCTACTACTGCACTGCTCCTCTTCTCCTCCTCCAACCCTCCTCTGCCCCGCATTCTCTGCACCTCCTCTGCTCCTTCGCCCTTTCTGTAGCGCACACCAATCTCAATCTAACAAATTAATTATCACCTCCCCAAAATCTAACTAACCACACCTCCCCCCCTCCCTCCAATACACGATGAAATGTAGTATTTGTTCCGATCAATTTAATATCTGATATGTGATCCATCGGGGCTCTTTTCAAAAAATAGAAAAAAATGCACAAGCGTGCTCGGTCGAGAGAGAGAGAGAGGAGGAGAGAGAGAGAGGGGGGGTGAGATGCAAATCCAACCCCAAACGATCTCCCCAGCTCTTCTGATGCTTTTCTTTCTCCTTCGTTGTTTTGCGAGCGAAGCCGCAACAGGTACCCTTGTTCATTTTTAAATCTGTTTTGTTAGTAAATTAATTTTATGTTGTTTGGAAATATTGAACAGGATCTACGATGCCGGAAGTCAAATTTCGGAGTAGGGGAGAGATGAATGATACTCTGGCCAAAACATGTGCGGCTCAGAAAGAAGAAAGGCAGATGAAAAAACAATCTCGACCCTTATCTTATATTAACATCCTCAAATTAAGTGAGGAGGATGCTAAGGCATCTTCAATGGAAATACCTTCAGCATCAGGAGTATCAAGCTCAGAAAAACGTAGCAGAGAAAGTATGTAAGGCATGAAGATGTGCATATTCGTTTTCCTGTATTGTTCGTTTTGCTTTAATATTGGGTAACTTGGGTTTCAGAACCAATTGAGGATTGTTGTTTTGCAAAAGTTGTTTGCATTGCAAATTCACAGGAAATTTATTTTTTTGGTATTTGTTTTCGTTGTGTTTTGAAGTTGTTAAATCACTCATAGCTTCTAAAAAGCAATATTGCTACACTTATAAAAATCACTAATCTGATAATTTTGGCATTCGGGCCGTCCGTGGAGCTACCGGTCTGATGGTCAGGATTGCCCCGTGATCTTAAGATTTTAAGATGGCACTACGATTCAG